GATGATCACCTTAACTTCATGAACCTCCTTGAAGTGTCACTTGAAGTTGTGATGGGGTGTAGGTATGATCTGGAGCAAAGGGTGGATCGAGCTTGGACTTGGACTAGGTTGAACATCTCGAGAATGGGGGATTTTGATTGAAGAAGAAGTTTAGGCTATGAGGAAGCTTATGGAAGGGTCAATTTAGAGTTTTGAGAAGTTTGATTCCAAGGTCGAGGAATGCTTTGCATTTCAGTGGTAAAATTAGGGTATCGTGTGGGGTTTAAAGGCTGCAAAATGGTGAGATTGAGCTTGGGGCAAGTGTAGGAAGCTCTGGAAGCAACTGAACAGAGTTTCCCATAGGTTAGTGCACTTCTCCTCCTTTGTCTGAGAAATGGTGGCCTATTTATAAACCAGGTTATAGCAACCAACAGGTCAAGCCAGGGTGGCCAAAGTAGTTCATAGGTGGATGGAAGAGAGGCTCCAATGTCCAATGAGAGTGAGCTACCTTAGGGAGTTCAAATTTTGAGTTTTGGCCATGGGGGCCTTCTCGGGCTTGGTGTTTTCCATCGGTTAAGGGTGGTCGGCAAGCCAGGCAAGGTCACCTCCACACTGTGGGAGGTCAAAAGTGGGGAGATGTGAAGTGAATTTGGTACAAGCATGGGTAATTGCAATTTTCTAAAGTGGGGAATGTGTTTGGGTTAGGTTTGGTTAACCATGGGTTCAACCCCATGGAAATGGACTTGGGTCACTTCCAAGGTGGATGGGGTTGTTGGGTCAACTTCTAGGGGCTTGGGTGATTGATTTGGCTTAGGAAACATGCATTTGGTGGATTAGGGTTTTGGTTAAGCCGCTTTGGTGGGAGGTGAAAGAAAGTACTCTTTTTGCCACTTTAGGGTGCATGAACCATGTGATGCTTATGGATGGCCCCATGAGTGGTTTCATGACATGCAATAAAGCCATGGGTGATTTTCATGGAAAGGGATTTAGGGATTTTGAAAATTTGGTGAGAGAATGTCATGGGACGAAAAATGGATGGGTTTAAGCATGGATGCTTGATGTGGAGTGCCAAGGTGTATGATCAAGAATGATGAAAGGGAATTTGTCATGTGGGCTTCAATGATAATTGAAATTGAGCTCAATTTATGGGCTTTTGAATTTAGCTATGATGGATTAATTTGGGCTTTAAAAGTTTAAGAAAGTGGAAATTAAAATTTTGGATTTTGATTTTGGATTTGGGCTTAGAATTGAGTTTGAAGAGTTTTGAAATTTGTCATGAAAAGTTGATTTTGGGCTTGGCATATTTGAATTAGTGTGTAGGCCAAATTTGGTTAATTTTTTAGCTTTGTGGAATTTTGGTATGGATTTGAACATTTTGCTCAAAATTGGGGGAGTTTTGGGTTTAGAATTGAAATTTGGGTTTTAATTTGGTGTTTAGTGAAATTGAAATTGAATTTGGTATTTGGAATTTGGAGGGCTTAAATTTGGGGTTAAATTGGGTATTTTGGGGAATTTGGGGGACATTTGGTACGGTGATCATGCTGTCATGAATAGCCATCTTGGGATCGTAAGACAACAAATGAAAACTCATTTTTGAGTCTCCACATGTTGGTCTTAGTCATCTTAACCAAAGGCTAAGGGCTTGGGACCACCCATGTGAGTTTCCCAAAGAGTTAAGAAGGTAGGTCTAGTGTGTGTGATTTTAGGATTTTGGGGTATGCGGAGAATTTGATGGGTTTTACTGTGTGTAGGTGTGTGTGAGAGAGCAAACCTTAGCTAACCAAGATTGTCCTAAGGCCTGATTAAGTTATAGGAACTCACTCTTGAGTCTCCACATGTTGGCCTTAGCCATCCCAAATGACATTTGGGGGCTTGTGACCACTCAGGTGGGACTTCATAAAAGGAGTCAATAATTGTCTTGAATTTCTATGTGGGGTGTGGATTCCCTCACTAGTCCTCTAAGATAGTTCATAAGAAAGTCATAAGGCTAGAAGAATTTGACATCATCAAATATGAGGTCAACAGAGGCCAAGAAGCCAAAAAGAATTTCTCTTATGACATAAATATTTTTTTATAGTTAGGTTTTACATTAGGGATCCAAAAAAGACATCGAAACTCTTAAAATCCATCGATGGGTCCAAAATAGGCAAGAAGTCATGTAAATCTGATTTTTGGGTGTCTGACAATGTTTTTACGCCAGAAGTCGGCATGGTCACTCCCAAAACTGGCATAGACACGCCCAGCTATGGTGCGATTGTGCCACACATTATTATATCATTGTTTTAACTCTATTATGCATGTTTTAACACTTATAAACTGCACAACATCAACAAAAACCTTTCTCAAGTGTAAATGTGATAAGTCAGAAAAAATAGCAAGTAAAATTCAGGTGAAACCACGTAAAATTGACGCTCTCTCTTCTAGGCCCAGCGGTCTGCCTGCTCTGGCTGGGGGATTCCTTCCTAAGAAGTTATGTGTTTGTTAGTCATTTCCAGTAGCTCGACCAAATCTTGTGGTTCGTGCAAACTGAGATCATAACGAAACCTCTCGAACCTCAAGCCCTGCTACATGACGGCCTATGTCATGTCGGTTTGGAGGTCCCTCATATCCAAAATCTCCCTCTAGAATTGCAGGATGGAGGAACGCAATCTCTTGTTCCCTGCTTCAACTGCCACAACTGCGCGCTCTTCTTCAATACTTGCGCGCTTGCAAACTATGCCAAGAAAATTCTTTGGAAGTTCGAAAAGCTGTTGATACTTCCTGTCAAACCACTTAGGGCTGATGACCTCAAGGTGGTGAAGAACAGACAACAGTCCAAGAAATTCAACAAGCATGTTCCAGATTCAAATGAGGTGGTGTGGTCGTTAAGATCCGACCGACCCCTATACGCCTCCAATGTCAGAAGCTTGAACTTCTCCTAGGGCTCAGCCCTTGAGATATGGAGGGAGAAGGGATTCTCTAGATGACGCTGCACCTCATTGCATCTAAATCACTGTCTCTCCACTTGCTTGAATCCAACATTATCTTGATACTGTGAGTCTTCAGTCCTCTCGAGACCATTATTCAGCCTTCTGTCATTGTGCGCCAGTGTTGTCTCTTGAATGAGGGTTTTTCCCTTGGGGGTGATCTCCTCCTATGGCTGCAAAGGTTCTCAAGACTTCTGTGATTTTGTCTGATACCTGAATCATTACATGGATCCTTAAATTTTGCATTTCTCTTTGCACAAACTCCTCCATGTCTTATCTAGTGTGTTCTGTGTTGGTTATTTCTCTCTGATGACTGTCTTCTTGTTGTGATTGTTGTACTCTCTTCTTGTCGACGACATGACTCCACGCTCATCGCACCTTTTAAGACGTTAAATCCAAAATTATCTGGGAGACATGTCTGAGGAATAAAGCGCAAAAGGGAGGAAAAGAGCAAAGAGAACATAGTAATGAGCAGCAAAATTGTGTAGCATTTATTCATGAAATGTGCTCCTATGTATGGGAATGGAGGTTGTAAAATTACATTTTGTACCCCTAGTAAAGTAGGTATAACAGAAGATATTTTAGTCAATATATAATTATAGGGCCGAGAGCTAGAGATGGCATCTAGACGGGAACTATCAGGAGCCTGAGATGGTTCCCGGCAGAATTTTGATCTGATTGGCCACACGCCTTGAGCCTAAGCGAATGACAGGTCAAATCATTACGTGGGAGACTATGGCCAAAGTGTGGGCTGGGAGACCCCGACCAACAGCTTTAGATCCGAGCAGATTTCATCATTCGCCGACTTGGTTGAGGAATGTCAGTGAATTCGTCCGTGTGAGATTTGTTCTGGTAATACTTCAGGAGGATGGCCAAATTCTATCTGTCTCGGAACTATTTTTCTCCCGACCCGCAAGAGCCAGTTGGATAGATGTGTGCCCCCGATCTATCTCTAGTGGGCTCTGAACTGTCACGTCATCTTCTCCGTCAAACATCAAATCTCATTGAAATTTGTGCTTACACATTTTACTTTAGAATTTCTGAGAAAAATGAAACAATATATTTAGTTTACAGTGAAATTTTTTATTGAGATTTAAGGTATAGTTAAAATCTCGTTTTGTAGAAGGAGAATGATTATCTTTATTATTGAGTAATTTATTAGATTTTAATGACTTGAATGAATTTAATTAGTATTTTCAAAACAAGTACTTGAGTACTGAACATGTGAAAGAAAATAATAGAATATCACATTGCCGTACAATATAATGATATTAATATTAAAACTACTTTACTTTTAATTTAGCATAAATTTTACAATTTAATGATTTTTTTCATATATAGAAAATTGTATATATATATATATATATATACCGGGGTGTGTGTACACTCCCGTGACGCAAACTGTGACTCTTTAGCTGGAAATTGCATTGTCAGTCTTAGTCCCCTAGGATCACGAGTTTGAGCCCGCCTGACCGCATTGCCCTGCAGTGCAAGATCGTGTGGCTAGACACATGAGATTGGTTGAGAGCTCGTATCATCGCCTCCGATTAATCTTTTAAAAGAAAGAATTAATCCAAATTAATTATAAAACACAAACAAACATTTTTTAATTAATTTGCAGCTAAACTAACAAGTGGAAAATGATAAAACACGAACAAACATTTTTTGCAGCTAAATTATTGTAGGATAGCAAATAGAGGCAATTGCACAAGCTATACATTAATCCAATACTCACTCAATGTTGAGAGAAGAAAATAGAGGCATTTACAAGCATATCAACCAATTCTTACAAATTTATAAACCTAGCAGCTACTCTAAAGCTTTCATATCACATCAAAAATATCACTTTGGTCTTTTCATGTAAGGATAAAGTGGCATATGTATAAGTTTTGATGTTATATGTTAGATAAGCAAATGCATAAGAATTAAGTGGCATGTAAATCTTGCAAGAAAACAATACATTCTAAAATCTAACACTTGTAGAACTTTTCAACAGCCAGTAAAATATACAGTAAAAGAAGTTCAGACAATGCTTGCAAAAACTTCTATCAGCCCTGTTATAGAAAGAAATAGGAAAAAAAAAACAAATCAAAATCAATTTCTTCAAAATCACAGCCATTCAAATTGCAGAATTCACAAGCCAAGCTTCCAGCTCTTAACATTTTGCTTAACAGATCTGAATCAATGCTGCCATCAAAACAGATTCGCAGTAACAAAGATAAACTGAAGAAAACTGATAATTTACATCCAGTAATGATCTTGTTCATCTCACAACAAACCAATTCCAGCAGAATAGCTTACAGAATGGTATGTGAAGTAAATGAGCCTGGAGAAAGCAATAACTGAAAGGGTGGTCCCACCAATAAGCAAAACTTTCGCGGCCCTGCGTCGCTTCCTGGGATTTAGCCAGTTGATGTAATGAAGAGCAGTGTACAGAATATATTCACCATCAAGAAAGAAGACCTGTTAGGCCAATCTATTAGATTTTCTCAAAGTATTGCAATTAGGTTATTGTTAGGGACCTGAAATAGGTTTTTTATCCTAACATTTAAATAAGTAATAGATATTCGAGTTTAGTTGGATTATTAGGTCAATGATACGAACCCACGGTTGGGATTAAGATAAATGGCAAATCAATGATGCCTATAACTCAAAATCTGGAGAGGAGATTTAGAGAAACAGAAACTCATCTTATTCATTCCAAAATCCACAAATGTGGCTGCTTCTACACAAATCTGACTCCACCCTGCAACCTCGTCGACTACTACATGTTTGAGCTTGAGGACAAGGTTAATTTTAAGGGATTGGTAATAAAAAGGATCTAAAATAGGTTTCATTAATTAACAATTAAATAAAGTTTTTTAATCTGTATTTCTCTTTTCTAACTCTGCCCTCCAGATTTTTGGAGTTACTGGCATCCTCGAATTGTTGTTTATCTTTATTCTAGCAATAAGACTGTCTCTTCATTGATTCTACATAGAAAACATGCCAAAATAAAGATGATTTTTCTTTTACTTTTTCCGAAAGTCGGGGGAGGTTCATACAATGTTTGGCAAATTCCAGTTTAATTGATTTTATCTTATAGAGGTACCCTCCATTTTACAATCCATCTTTAAATCTAGAAGTTACATTGCTGACTATATTCCAACTCCTTTGCATGGTAGTATAAATCCATTACACTTGGCAATTACTTTATCTGATGCTATGCGCTTTAAGCTAACACCTGTAAGAGTTCTATTACATAGAATCAGATTTTATTCTACTAATTTTAGATCTTTAATCTTCTAAACATAATACGTATCATTCTAATTTTTCACTTATTCCAATAATGACCTCACCAAACGGAACAATCATCTACAATTTCAGGTCCATGTTAGTTTCGTACATTAAAAATAAACAGAAATCCAGACAACTAGCTTGACGAAAATGTTCTTTTTTTTTTCAAATAATGTGGCATCAATTGCCTCCTTAAGCTATATTGGAAGAAAAACAAAAAGAACAAATAAAAAGCAGCTCTCTTATTAAAATTGAAGGTACACCAGCAATAATTCACATGTGAATATGTGTAAGCAAGAAGATGTACCGGCAAGCTGTTAAGAGCAGCCAAAGCTGCAGAGACACGATATGCGCATACTAAAATGTTCTCCAGGGTTGCTGGAATGTCCATACTCCAACTCAAGTGCATCCAGCGAGGCCGATATGAAGACAACCGCATTGAATGAGCGAATCTGAACTTATCACCAACATATACAAATGTACCAACACCACAAGGATTTGATCCATAAACAGGATCTGGATCTACTAAAGATGTATTTCTTCTTTGCTGGAAGCAATCTGATGAGTAAGGCTTAGCATATGAAATTTCAAGCCATGATATTCCTGGGTTCAACAGAGGTGTCATGCAGGATTCATTCTGTCGCATTCAAGTAAGTAAGTTCAGTTTGATTTTATTAATCACGTTAATGACAGTCGAATCCAAGGAAAATCGGTGATTTCCAACGACTTGAACTTCACTATGAGCAAAAGAGCCCCCATAACAGTAAGCATTATTGTGTTAGACAAAAATAAAGGGAAAAAAACGCCAGAGTCAATAATGACCAATCAAAAGATGAGATGGCAAGAGGAAAACTTACACACACACACACATATATATGTATACACACACACACATGTATGTATGTATGTATGTATGTACGTACTGTATGTATGTATGTATGTATGTATGTATGTATCTGTGTGTGTGTGTGAGTGTGTGTGTGTGTGTGTGTGTCTCTCTCTCTCTCTCTCTCTCTCTCTCTCTCTCTCTCTCTCTCTCTCTCTCTCTCTCTCTCTCTCTCTCTCTCTCTCTCTCTCTCTCTCTCTCTCTCTCTCTCTCTCTCTCTCTCTCTCTCTCTCTCTCTCTCTCTCTATATATATATATATATATATATATTTTATTTAATGCATACATACATATATACATCTATAAGTATATATCTATATGGATACATACATATACATCTAGATGTATGTTTGGGGGTATATATACACATACATATA